GTATAATGTTTTTCTCCTCATTGGCTTGAATTTTTGGGCCACCAGGAACCAAAGGTTTCTTTGGCGGAGCTCCACGAGACGATGGAATGGTGCAAACTAACAATGTAGAGTTATTCACCCAAACATAATTGTCAAAAACTGCATTCAAATGTACATTAGGTGACTGAAACAACGGTCTAGCTTTCCCTGTTTTCACATCTGCAATCCATACTGTGAGTTTACTAGAATCACTGTCCTCCTCATTCACACGAATGCTAAAGGACAAATGCCAACCATCGGGAGACCAAGAAACAAAATTTATTTTAGCACCATCAGGGAAACCATGCACCTCAATCTCTGGCCCTAATGTACCATCAGCAAGAATTTGATGGATCGCTATACCAGTGTAGAATGCCATGCGACTCCTAGTATTGCACTTCCCATCAATACGTATACCAGCCAGCTTTTCCTCCGGCCTTGCTATTTCTGCTAGCGGAGGTAAAGCTCTTCGCTTGAGAAAAAGAATTTTGTCCCTGAGTGGTGAAAACGACAATGCAGGTACAGGTGGAGCATCAACAATATCCCTGATCTCGGGTGGAGGAACGCGATACCTTCCTCCTGTTGTTGACTCATCTAACATTGGTCAATTAAAATAAAAGTCAGCAACTAGAAACAGTAAAGCAATCTAAACAATAATATAGATGTATATGCATTGTACAACTATGTCCGGTCCATATTCTAGTCCAGTCAGAAGCTCAAAATACTATATGTAGAAAGTGCAAGGCTCGAATACATAAATAAGGACCAAGAAGTATATGATAGAATATGAAGTGAATCTCTTCACTTCATGTGCCAAACTTTTCAGTAGCTCAATCTTTATCGTTGTTCATATAAAACTCTATACCGTCAGTGAAAAAGGTGCAAATCGTTGAATTAAATACATACAATATTTCACTAGCTGTAAAAGATTTTAACTAGTTTAAAATAAGTTCAACAATACAGTTAATAGTATATTAACAATCGGTTACTCAATTACGTTGATAGCGATGGAATCATGATAATTTCGTATTTTCACAGTATCTATCTGAATGATAATCGAGTGAATCGAGTGAACCGATACAAAGATGGCGCAGCGAAATTATATTCCTCTAGGTGACCGATCAATCGCGTGAATAAGCATCAAAAGATTAATCTATCAGAAACACATAATCTTGCTGGATAACCGTAAAAAGAGTAGTGGAAGAAATGCGTGTTGAGCTAACCATCGTAATCAACGGAAGTAGCGGCGGTGGCGGAGGAAGTAACGGAGCCGGCGCCGTCTTCGGCGGCGAGAGGTGCTAAATTGCGGAAGCGCGAGGAAGCCATGGAAGCGAAGTTGGGTGAGGTTCGGCGACGGAGCGTGAGACGCAGCGGAGGAGCGAGAGGGAGGAGAGAGGGATTAGAAGGGAACGATAATGGCGAAAAGGGGAGAAGAGTGAGGCGATGGTACAGTTTGTGAAGTCGCATCATTGATAAAAATTAAAAAATTATATTCCCTGCTTGATATTCTTTTTCTATCTTCTCTCGGTGTATCCGTTGCAAGCCTTCCACTGTTGTTAAGTAAGTAGTTCTTTGTTATAAAAAATAATAATAATAATAATAATAATAATAATAATAGGACCCTGTCCTTGTTTAATGGCGTGACTCAAAATGAAACGCACTGGGCTTGTGGACATTTTTTATTTATTAAAATGAAATATAAATATCCTTTAATTTATAATTAATTTATTTATATTATGAAGAATAAATTAATCTTTAGTTATTAGTTTTGAAATATTTATCAATTATGTTTATGAAAAAAAAATGTTAATTGATATTTCTTTCTGTATCAAATATATCTTTAAGTATAAAATATTATATTCAAGTTGTGGTGTTTAAAATGCGGATGCGAAAGTTAAAAATCTTCAAACTAGTTAATTTACGTGCTGTATAGTTAGAGTATATACTAACTTATAATTGTTATTTTCTCAAGAAAAAAATTTGACATTTTATTTAAGTTGTAGTTGGTGGTTGAGAAAATCTATAACAATATTAATCTATTTTCTAAAAATAAGTTGGCAATTAATTTTAACACGAAAAGTTAACTTATATTTTTGAATAAAAACTCCAACACGTGCCAATGTTATTAAAGTGAGAAGATGTTCACATTCACTGAATTTAAATTATTCAACTGAGTTGTTTATCATGTTCGAATTAAATTACGTAGTTTTTTTTATATAGTTCATGTAATTTACTAAAATTGACAATCAATTAATTTATACTTATCAAGCGTGATTTTTTTTTTATTAAACATTTCCTATCATATGTTTTTATTTATAGATAAATTTAATTCACATTATTTAAAAATTAAATTTATATTAAATGTGAATTTTATAAATACAACAGTTAGATTAAAAGTTTTTTACTATTAGATCATATATACAAAATTTTATATTAATCTCATTCTTAATATATATAATTCAAAATATACTAAAATATAAACACTTTGATTACCTTCAAGTTGTTATTCAATTTTAACAAAATTTGATATAAACATATAAAGTGATATAAACTTTCAATCTAATAGTTAAATTTACAAAATTCATATTTAATATAAAATTATTGAACGGTGTAATACTTAGTAAAAGTTATACCAGTATTATTATAACTCTCCTCATATATATATGTGCGCGCACGCGCGTGTGTCTGAAGTATTGTTGAAATGTTTGTTGATTATAAAGTTGAATAGGAGTTGTGATAACTGAGTTGTTTGTTGATTTTTGTTGTCGTGATGAATTTATAAAGAGTTGTCGTGTTGTTGAGTTGTGTTGACCACTTAGAATTAGAGGAGATGTTTTTTAAAAGTTGTATATCTCATTGTGTGGATATTGTGTTGAGGTGTTCTAAGAGTCCAATTTGTTGAAAGCCTTTTTGGGAAGTTGACCCTTAAAGTAGATGTTGTGTTGTTTCTCTTATAGGACTTTGTTGGTATTGTGTGTGGGCAAGGTCGAGGCACACATGTATGACACGAATATAGTATGAGGGTTAAAGTGACCAATAGAGTAAAGTACGAAATTAGAAACTTAATTTCTTACCGAGTATCGAAAAGGCATAGTATTTAGAGGATAATTAGTAGATTATTCCCATAAGAGACATAGTTAAGCTAACTAGTGTCGTGGTAGACTCATACCCAATTGTTTTACCTTAACAATAGTACTATACTTCCTTGTTTAAGTGACGACAACCGATAAGTTGAATTGTTGTGATGTGGATTTATATCCAATTTGTTGTTAATCTAGCAAGTCCAAAAAGATCTTCCTATGTTGATGGTTCAATAGGGTCAAGTCACTTAAATTGTTAATGTTGTGTTGTAGGGGAACTCATAATTGAAATGCACGACGATGCATATAATTGTTATGTTGAACATGTGATATGTTGAGTTAATTGTGTTATTTATATGTTGTGTTGAACTATGATAAAACATGTTGTTGTGTTGAACTTAAGTTCTTATGTTAATGTGTGTTGTATATTATGTTGTCTTGTTGTTGTGTTATTAAAGATGAGATGACAATGATGTGATATTTTTGTGTTGTATATATATTGCTTCTTTTTATTCTGGCTTATCTTTGTAAGTTTTCATGTGACGTGAACTGCAATGATCATACATGATATGAGAGTAGAACAAGGACAGGACTGAAGTGTTGCTGTGGAGACCACTCGGTGGCACAAGAGCTGAAAGATATTTTGTTGAGTATCCAATAATGATAAATTTGTATAGACAATTGTAACTATTTGTTCGACAACTTAATATGTATAATTTATATTTACTAGATTACTATATTTTATATTGTACATATTTATTTAGTTGTATATATTTATATGCATGCAATATAATACATGTTTTTAGTAATTATAATTCTATAGTATTAAGTTAGATATTTTTTATTACTAGTAGTTATGTCTTACATTGTAGGAACCAAAACGAATTATTGCATAATTGTTTTTTGTTACAATGTCCATCTATAATGCTTGCACTAATTACCTTAGAAAAATCATATTTTTCATCTTCAAAACTTCTTTGTCACCATAAATGTAAGATGTAACGAAACATTAAAAGAAATATCATTGTCAACAATCAATTTAGACTCATCATACACTAATAATATTCTCACCAAAAACCATGACAATATCTTTCATAATAACAATGGTAACATGATCATCACTATTAATATTATTATTTAATTATTTTTGCTTGTTCTTGTTTTTTTTTTAACGATAATAATGTTTCATAACGAGTTTTTTTTTTTTTTTACAACAATGATTGCATTTATCATCATATCCTTATCTTTATTTTTATTCTCTCGTATTTTTTGTAACCAAAACACTTAACTGTGAAAAAGATGCCCTTGAGTTTTCTTACGAACTTTTTCATTTGAAATAGTAGTTTTAACGCTACCCATAATCATAACAGTATTAGGAACAAAATTAATCAAAGGCACACACAAGTTTTCCCAAGAATCAGGAAAATCGATAAACAATCAAACAATCATAATCTCATTATCAAAAAATATGAATAAAAAAATCATCAAATCATCTTCACATAAATCTAAATTCCTATAGGAAAAAAATCTGAGCAGGAATAAAAGGAGCAAAATGGGGCTTATCTAGATTGCATCCCGACTTGAATCAATCACTACTGTCGAAAAAGGTAGAGATTCTTTCCACGGAAAATTGTCATTTAATTTTGATAACATGATAAAATAATTATAATAATTTTCATTTCAAAAGCATAGTATTGTATCACCGAAGTAAAGACTAAAGAGGTCCAGATATTTCAGCAATAATTTATCTGATTAAACTTTTTTATCGAAAAAGATAACTTGGGTGGCATAAAAATATCAAATTGTGGATTGTACGTGGAAGAGTATAATTGGCTAAAACCAGATAAGAAATATGTGTACACAAATCCTCCCCAGGCACAGCTATAATGTTTCCAAGCTTAGACCTCTTCAAAAAACCCTCAGTAGTGAGAACGGAGAGAAGAGAAAATGGCAACTACGACTGGTGTTAGTCTTTCAAGCCCCAGGGTTTTGTTTAAGGCATCGGTCTCGCCGCAAAGCGCGCATGCCATAAAGTTCTTCGCAGTTCCACTGGGTCAAGGGATGCAGCCTGTTATTATCCGGTCGGGTCGGGTCTCCACGATCCAACCCATTCGCGCTGTGCCGGAGAAGATATCGGAGAAGGTGGAGGAGAGCATAAAGAACGCGCAGGAAACTTGCGCCGGAGACCCCACTAGCGGCGAGTGCGTGGCGGCGTGGGACGAGGTGGAGGAGCTGAGCGCGGCGGCCAGCCACGCCAGGGACAAGCAAAAGGAGAAGGACTCCGACCCGCTTGAGAACTACTGCAAGGACAACCCGGAAACCATTGAGTGCAAAACCTTCGACGAGTGAGTCATAGTGCAAAAATGTTGCGTTACATGCCCAACACCTATGTATTAATGTTTCTTTAAGCATGATCCAATAACGCATGGTAACTTATGTTTAATCAAATCCAAATTATGCACTAGTTTTTTGTTTTCGTGTTTGGTTATGCTAAACAACATGCTATTGCTAGCTACATGAGATTGCATCAAATTGCATCTATAGATTCTGTACAGTTGCACCGTGATCACCGCACACGTTGACGTTTTGCTTGATGTGTTTTATATTCTTCAATTGTTTTGTAATGAAAGATTAGTATGTGCTAAATGTGAGGGTTTTCTTGTTGGCTTAAACATCACAGCTGTAACTTGCTGGTAATAAATTCGCTTCGTTTTGTAAATTACGCATAAATTATGACTTTGAACTTCAAGGAAAGAATTTTGATTGAGAACGGATATTCTCTTCATTTTATTTTATCTTTAAATTTCAAGTATTTTAGGATGAAAAATTTATTCAATCTAATTCAATTAATTTTGTTTTGCTATTTAATTGATTTTATTTTAATTTAAATTGTGTGATAAAAGTTGTTATGAGAAATTCCATTTACTTCCATATGAGTTCTATTGATCGAGAAGATTAGTTTATTACCGATTAATAATGTATTGTTAATTAGATTATGTTCGGACAAAAGTTTTTTTTTTTTTTTTAACTTTAATGCATATTTCTAAATTTTGTTTAAGTAATTGTTGACTTAAGCGCAATTTTTAGTAATTTGAAGGGATAAAATTGATGTTGAGAATGTATTAGAAAAATAACAAATTAAGACTTAAACAAAGAAAATAGGTGTTTTTGAGAATCAAAGATAAAAATCTAGAGTTGTGAGTTATTGTTACTTATTCCCAAATAAATTTCACAAACTCCAAACTCTTGCCACCAATTTTATTTCTAAGATTGTTAACAACTCCTGATTTAAGTAATTAATAGTTTTTGTTTTAGGAAAATCCCAAATTAATTGTACATAATTTATTCGTAAAATAAAACTTAAAAGTACAAAAGTCAATTAACAAACTAATTCATTTAAGAATTAAGAAAATTAATTTGAGCATGCAAATTTTCAGAATTCAATTATTTTAAAATTTTGTTAACCAAGAGAGTTTGGTCATGCATTTCAATGGTAAAGGCGTACTTCTTCAAATAGGATTGTTTCAAGGGAAAGCACGATCATGCATCTTAGTACTCATGGGCGTGGATGTCAGCATGGGTTTGCATCTTCAAGATTGGAACATGCTTCATCTTAGCACGGTTGTGCTCCAAACAAAGACAGTTGTGCATAACTATTTAACTTAATTTTCATCTTTTTAGCCTTGAATTGCAATTATTACTTCTTCTATATTTTTTTCCTATTTATTGCACACTTAATAAAAAAAATGGAATTTACTAAAGAATGTGATTACAAATAGGACAAAACAATTAAAAACATAGTAAAATACAACAATTTGGAGGTTTAATGAGTGACTTTAAAATTTAGAAAGATAAAAATTAAAGAAAAAATATTTTACATAAATGAAAATCAAAATTTGCTCTCATTTTATTATGACCAAAAATAATGTTTATAAAATTCAGAAGAAAGAAAAATAACTAAAAATTTATAGCAAAAAATAATAATCTAAGAGCTTGTTTAAAGGATAATATATTTATGTAACATTATTCTTAATTTAAGAAATATTTTATATATATTTTTCATATTTGAAATATAAGATAACATGATTATAATATCTTGCTATCTTTGTTTATTTTTTATGTATTAAATTTATAAAAGGGTAAATTATATTTTCAATCCCTCTAAAAAATTTAAAGCTTGGTTCTAGTTTTACAATTTTTTTTATCCTATTTAATTTAAAGATGCATTGCTTTTTTGGTTTTTAAAGTTATGTATATAATAATTTATGATAAATTATAGTATAAAAGTAAATTAAATAAAAATATAATATATCTATTTTAAATTTGTTAACATATTTTTTTCTTAATAAAACATGTTATTTTCTATTAAATGTTTAATACATTGTTTGTCTATAAATTTTTTAAAAAAATTATTAGGTTTTTAAAAAAAATGTAGTAGAGTCATTCACTTATTTATTTATTTATTTTTTGTAATTTAGTCTTTAAAATTAGGAATCTGTTCACATTTTGTGAAATGACATTTTTTTTTATATTTTTACATCTGCAAAATCACCTCAAATTATTATTTTATATATAATCATACATGTCTAATAGATTTAATCTACCTATAAAATTTAATCTACCTAGAATATTAAAAAACTTTAACAAGTGAAATTTAAAACTAAATACACATGAATGATTACATTGAATGGTAATTTAATATTGTTGTTCGTGTACAAGAAAATAAAAATATTATATCAAATTATGTATCCTAGATTATAACTAATCTTCAATTGTAGGGACTAAATTGTAAAAAGATGAAAGATCAAATTTTAATTTTTAAAAAGTTTAAGACCTAATTAAAAACTTTATAAAAAAAACATACACTAACTAATATAATAAGTCTTGACTAAATTATGTATCTATTTTTTATATTATAAATATTTACATTTCAAATATTTTATATATAAAGGTGTATATTTGTTGTATCATTCAAAGCCTATGAAATATCAGGATTGACCCTCAAATAGACTAAATTTATCAAAATTTATAATGTTTGAAAAGTATATGATGCATCGTTACGTAGATTCAAATTAATGTATAATATTTTTTTATGAATATATGTCGATTTAAATTAATGTAATAAAATATTAATTAGTCTTTAAATTATTTATAAAAATTGTAAACTTAATTCATTCATTAAGAAGTATTAATTTAACTGTTAAAAATTGTTGAAATTCAATATTAATCATAAGTAAAATAACTCAACAATGAGTTACTCTTTGAATACATGAATTTATTTCCAATATTATATATTAATTTAAATTTACATAATTAAGTATCATATACTTTTCAAAATCTTTAAAATGTGTTTGATTTATTCATTAACAACTATTATTTTAACAGTTGAAAATCATTAAAATTTAATATTAATAATGAGTTTTGAATGCAGTAAATAAAAAATGAGTTACTCTTATAAAAGTAAAAATGATTGAATCACATTAGTATAACTTTTATAATTATAACACCGTTCAACTTATATAAAAGTAATTTTTGTCAATCCAAACTTTAAATTTTAACTTTATATTTTCTTAAATACGTATGAAAGATTTTGTTAAAATTAAACGATAATAAAAAAATAATCATAATATTAATTTCATTGTTTTCGAAAGCTCATAATTTATTAACTAATGATTTGTTGGGGTACAACTTATTGTCTATCTACAAATAATATGTATTACTGTAATTGCAATTATTAGTTTAAATTACATATTATGCATTATAAGAATTATTGAATGATACACTATTTGAAAAATTGTGTTTAAAATACATTTAAATTTATATTCATATATATATATA